CACCTTTATCCACTGAGTCATCTCACTGGCTCTTCTTAGGACGAATTGAGCATGACTAAATCCTTACGTTGAATTCTTTAAAAGAAATTAAGATAACGCTGGAGAGATGACTCAGTCATTAAAGGCAAGGTTCACAACCAAACCCAATGTTTACCTTAAGCTTAAATAATAATTATTAAAAAGTTTTGAGAACATGTCAAGCTAAATCTAAATGATGAAGAGCTTTTGAGTAAGGATTATTACCATCTGAATGAGCTAAGATCACAGATTTCCTTCCACGATAAGTCGTGATGACAAAATTGAGTGCAAGTTTGAAATGTGACTATATTTGCAGTATTGAAAATGGTAGCCCTAACTTTTTTTTCTAGAAAATGAACTCCTCAGACCCACGGTGGGTAGTCTAATAAGATGGGTCTCATGTCCCCATTAGAAATCAGTTATAGATGGCACTGTGGTGACTTGTTAGTCAATGGCTTACTCTTTCCTGACAGGTGGATAGCATTGTGGATACTTGTGAGTTTGGCCAAAGACATTCTGTAGGCTTGGTATCCATTCCTTTTCTGTTGCCAGCAGCACAGCACCATAGATGGGGTGAGTTTTAGCAAACAAAAAGAGTTTGTTTTGATAATTTCATGTATGCATATAAAGTATATAATGCATCCTGGTTATCCCCTCACTAGAACTGTACCCTGTCCCCCCTTCTCCTGTTTCTTTAAACAAGTCACCTCCTACTTTCAAGTCTTTTTGCTGCTGATGTTGTGACCCACTGAGTTAATTTGATTTATTATTATTATTATTTTGTTTCAGCTGACTTTAATTCAGTTGGCATGAGCATGGGCAGTGCGGGAGGAGCTGGGGGGTGGGGGCTTACTGGAGCAAGGCAATTTGCCACTGGATATTATGAATCTCCTCCCCCAGCAGTTATTAATTGCCAACAGCTCCTTAGGGAGCAGTGGGGCCTCGTGAGCCCCTTCCCCCACCCGTGGTGGAATGTTGATGTGGCCCCAGCTTGAGCAAGTCACGACTGCTGTGAGCCAGCACCACAGCCCTGCCACATCCAGACATCAGGTTTTTGAAGCACAGTTTTCAGTCTTGGCAGCGGCCGGCACCTGTACAGAAGCTTCTCTGACCAGTGCAGCATGCTCTTTGGCTATAAGCTACATACAGAGAAGGCGATTCTGTTTCATGCCCACTTAACAAGACTACAGTCACGGTGCATCTCCCTTCCAGCCTCACTTCTGATAGGTTACATAACACGAGGCATCTATCCCCTCCTGTGGAGGTCCCAGATCCACACCGAAAGCAGTGGTTTTCTTCCCTAACAGTCATCCCACTATTATACCTGAGGGCACTGGGACTTCCTTGCCTGTGGATTGGTGACACAGCTTTCAGGGTTCCCAGCTGGGTAAGAGTGCTGATGCATAGCACTTTCTGGCTGTACGGAAGCCATCCAGCAGAAAGTCTCCCGAGCAGTTGGACTTGAGTTCTCTATGTCCTGCAGCCAAAGTTTCTCTTTCTTTTTATAATGCCATCAAGGTGCACTCATGGTGGGCTCCACCCCAGTGATGCTCTCTAATCTTCTTAATATTCACAGTGGGGAGTCAGTTTAAATCCAGAGTCTTAGGGAGACAGGAAACTGCATTCAAGTCACAGCTGCCTCTGCAGATCCTAAAACCTTCCTCTCTGTCCTTTCTGCCCATTCCCTTGCACAGGCATACTTGCATGGTGGTTGTCCAGCATCTCCAGACTCCCATTCCTTCCTGCGTCCTACACCCGGGTTTTCCTCTCCAATGAACGCCTTGCACATCAAACCCTCTCAGTCTTGGCATTCAGACTCTGAAGATCTGGAAAGATTCACTTGACTTTGTCCTTGCCGTGGCTCAGAATCACATCACAAACAACTGGCTGTTGTGGCCCGTGTCTGTATTTGCCACACCTGGGAGCTGAGGCCGGAAGATTCAGCATTAAGTTAGCTTGGGATGTGTGTATGTGTGTGTGTGTGTGTGTGTGTGTGTGTGTGTGTGTGTGTATGTATGTATGTAAGTATGGATTCTTTGTCTCAGAGAAACAAAGGAAAAATAATAAGAGTATCACAAAAACTAGACAGGAAGGAAGAACCAAGAGAAAGAGGAAGGAAAGAAGAAAGAAGGGGGCAGGCAGGAGGGAGGCCGGAAGCAGAGAGAGGGCAGAAGTGGGTTTAGCTATCTCAATCGTTTGTCTTCTTTTTATTCTAACGTTAATGAAATGGTTATCTATTAGAATATTTCCTACCAGTTCTGATTCTGAAAGAGATGAAATCAAGGAGCAGCGCTGCAGAGGAATAGCTGAGATCAAATCCCCTGGATAGGAGGAGACCACCACATCAGCTTACTGCTGCTCTGCTAGAGTGACATAAACACCCACTTTGTTCACTCCTTCACGAAAGGGTCACGTGCTTCACACCGAAACACGTTTTATAAGGCCTGACTGCACATTTCTCTTAGCAACTCGGCCGGCAGAAAACATGCCAGTTTTAAACAGTAGCCAACAATGGCTTCAATCAGGTTTTCTTTGTTTGTGCACATGTACTTGTGTGTGAGTGTGCATGCATGGTGTGTGCTGGAACGTGTGTGTGTGTGTATGCGCAGGCGCGCGCGTGCATGTGGGGACCAGAGGACAGCCCCCTTAGTCTTAGTGACCCAGCATGCTACACAGGCAGACTGGCTGACTAGTGAGCCCAGAAATCCATCTGCTTGTCCCCACCTGCTCAGCGGAAGGGCGTCTTTCCTTCTAGTATTTAAACCATCTTTTTGACTCATGCTATTTTCAGTTGTGTGAATGCGGGTGTGTGTAAGTGTGCACTGGAGTGCGGGTGTCCACCGAAGCCAGAGGCAATGGGTCCCAGGAGCGGGAGGAGGTGATGGGTCCCAGGAGCAGGAGGAGGCAATGGATCCCAGGAGCAGGAGCTGCCGGTGGCTTCGAGTGCGGGGACATCATCCGGTCCTCTGCAAGAGCCCTGCGCCCTTGTCACTGCTGAGCCAGTCTCTCCACGGCTGTCTTCTCTCTTTTTTGAGATGATTCTGTTACTTACTCTAGGATAGCCTCCAGTTCACAATGCTCCTGCCTTTGCTTTGCTTTGCCAGTGTTGAGATTACAGGTATGTACTACCAAGCTTGACTTCTAAATCTAATTTTCTTGCCCATTCAAAAATTTTCAGAATTTTTAAATTATGTGTGAACATGTAGAAAGGCATGCACCTCCGCACGAGGCGTGAACTTCTGGGTTTTAAAAGGAAAAGTGGAATTAAAGGTATAGCTTGGACTCGAGGGGGCCATTTCCATACTAATTTTTAAAAATATTTCTGGAAGTTTACACAAGATTGAGAAGGATTACAAAAGACAAAGGATCCACGAGTGTTTGTATGGAGAAGTTACAGAAGGCATGAAGAGGCTAGAAGAGGGAGTAGAGTGTTTGAAGTTCTTTTAAATAATTTGTTTAAATCAATGTTTTTTTTTGATCCATACATTCAGGTAGCAGTGTGAGTTTTAGACTCAAAATGTACAGTACATTTGAAAATACTTCCTTTTTTGATTTATTTTAGTATTTTATGTTTTGCCTGTGAGTGTGTGTGAGCCTGTGTGTGAGTGTGTGCGCCTGTGCCTGTGTGTGTCTGTGTGCGTGTGAGTGTGTGTGTGTGTGCGCCTGTGCCTGTGTGTGTGTGTGTGCGTGTGTGTGCCTGTGCGTGCCTAATGCCCCGGAGGTCAAAAGAGGGCATTGGATCCACTGGGACTGGAGTTACAGATGATATTTGGGTGCTGGGGTTCTCTGCAAGAGCTGTAACTGCTGAACCAACTCTTTTTTTTTTCAATGTGGGGCATCAGCATTATTTTTTTAAAAAAGATTTTATTTAAATACTATGTATACAACACTTTGTCTCCATGCACGCCTGCAGGCCAGAAGAGAGCACCAGATCTCATTACAGATGATTGTAAGTCACCAGGTGGTTGCTGGGAATTGAACTCAGGATCTCTGAACCATCTCTCCAGCCCCTGAACCAACCCTTAATGCCCTTGAAAGGCTCTTTATAAAATCTTCTATTGGTAGAAAATACTATGAAATAACCAAGTCTTTACTACCAGCTTAAGTTAGCAGCCGGAACACAGCAGTGGTGCTTAAAACACGTTGGGGGTGGGGTGGGGACCTGATAGCGTCGATATGACTCTTTATACTATGCAATGATCTGTCAAAAGGTGCTTGGTGTTCTTCTAATCTAGTTAGAGGCAAGGAATCAGAATTCAAGATGCTGCCAATCAAGCGATAATAAAGTAACGGCATCTGTCATTGAAAGGCTTCCCCAGCTCTTATTTATGCAAAAAAGCATTCTAAAATTCAGCACCCTACCACAAGAATAATGATTCTTTATTGCTTTTGCACATATGTATTCATGAGGCTTACTAGTATTTCTGAGATCCCCAGTAGAGTAAGTCCTTTTGACCTGAAATCTGTCACAGTTCAGGCCACATTTCTTACCTACGTTGGGAGAAACAGGTTTTGGTTTACTCCTTTTGGCCTTTCACTTATTTTTTTTTTTCCTTTCATTGCCTCCACCCTCATTCTCTAAGTCTTCCATTCTTGTCCTTTTTTCATTCAAACGAGGCCAGGTGCTTCGTTTTGTGTTATCATCTCATTCAAAAGGCTGCCACGTCACCCACCCGCACGGGGCAAGAACGGAGAGAGGTGCTGTCATTTCTCTTTGCCAGCGTGGAGCCCCGCCCTCTGCTGCTCACCTGCTCCCGGGCAAAAGACACAGAGGCCACTGTCACGAGCCCGAGGCCCGGTGCCCTCCCGCCGGTCTAGACGCCCTCCCCGCTCTGCAGAGCTGCCCCGCCCCTCCCGGATCCGGGTCGGCCGAGCGCATTGATTTGCATATTCCTACCTTTGTTCCCCGGCCATGGCCAATCAGAGTGCGGGGCGAGGCGGGGCGGCGGGGCGGGGCGTGCGCTCGGCTGAGCCGCTGCCGCCGCAGGTTGCAGAGCGGGTGGGAGCCGCTGCGGGCGCGGCACTGCAACCCCGAACCCCAACCCCGAGCCCAGCCCCCGCCACAGGCCCAGGAGGCTAGGATCCAGCGGCTCCCCGCCCGGCCCCGCCGAGGACGCCTGGATTCGCAGGCGCCCGCCAGCCCACGCGCCACGATGGTGTGCGGGGGCTTCTCGTGCTCCAAGAACTGCCTGTGCGCGCTCAACCTGCTCTACACCGTAAGTCGCCGGCGCCCGGTGGCACCTGCGCGGGCCCCCAGCCTCCTCCCAGCCCGGCTGGCCGCCTGAGCACCACCCCGCGCCCCTTGCAGCCTTCCCTTGCCCCAGCCGCGCCCGCGGCCCCCGCCCTGGACCCCAATCCTTGTCGCAGTCTCCGCCCCGTCCTTCATTGTGGCGCTCGCCCCTGGCCCGGCGCTCTGCAGCCCTTCGCCTTGCCGTTCCCTTGGTACTCGCCCGTCCCTCCCCGCCCTCGCATCCCTCCCCAGGATCCCATCCCGGTCCCTCCAGCCGCACGCTCCCATCTGGAGCGCGATCGGAGGCTGGAGAGCAGCCCGGGCTGGGAGGGCGGTTTTGCGGGAGAGCGTGGCCTGGTGTGGACCAGGCGGCCTGTGGATGGCGCGCTTCTGGCTCCCGTCTGAGCGTTGTCGTTTGAATGGAGGCCTCCGAGCGAGGTCACAGGATATCCGTGGCTTCCGAAGTTTGTGTTTCGGGCTTACATAAAGTCTCTTTGTTGATGCTCCTGCCAGTGAGGCTCCCAACTGGATGGCTTTTCCATGCCTTCTTCCTCCTTCCCCTTCATCAACATCCAAACTCCATTTAGTGTGTAACCCTCCCTCCACCCAGGTCGCTTGCCTGTTTCTTCTCCCTGCTTATCGGCGCATGCCTCCCAGTTTTAACGTTGAGAGCCCGTTTTCATTTCTGAGGCATAATCCTGGCTGAACGGGAGGGAGGCAGGGTGACGTTTATTGAAAACCTACATTCCTTTTCATGCACACTTGTCATTCTGGTTTTCTGCGGCAAGCGGAGTTGTCTATATGTTATAACGGTAAAGATTTTAAAAAAAGGTTTTTTATTACGTTTTCATACTGGTCGTTGGTGGGTCTGGAGTGGAACCGAGCTGTGGAATCTAGGTCTTTCCATAAGCTGTCTTCTCTGCGAGGACGAAACTTCCTCTCGGCCCTCTCACTCCATCTATAAATACACCTGGTGCTCGCAGCACCCACCCTGAAAACAAACCCGGCTCCCCTGCGTTAGCAGAGCCCGGCCATCTGGGCCAGCTTAGGTTACACCCATGGGCAAGCGAGACTGGCTGCTTGGGGTTAAGAGCAGAGGCAACCGGTCATTTTACCTTTGTGTGTGTGTGTGTGTGTGTGTGTGTGTGTGTGTGTGTGTGTGTGTGCGTGCCTGAACAAGATGGTAAGGCTTTGAAGGCAAGCCAGAAATAGGCATCGATGGCCTAAGCGTTTCTGGTTTGTTCTTAGGAATCTAGACGACGTGTTCGCAAATGGTAGACTTGGAAGAAAGAACACAGGGTGATGTAGCACCTTGTAATTGGAGATGCGTGCCATGTTTTCACATCGAACACGCTGACCGTGTTGCCTATTAGTCCCCATCTGTCCTCCGCTCTTTTCTCTTACTGGCGTGAATGGTTTGCCTGAAACGTCACATTCTGTTTTGTGCCTTGAGCCCCTCCCCCTCCAGTGATTCGGTCATCTGTTTACCTGATTCTCCATCTTGCTGTGCCTGCCCCCACGCAGTGCAATGGCTGCTGCCGAGCTTCGCTGGCTGTCTGCAAACAGCAGTGTGCAATACACACATTTTTAAAAACAGGAAGGTTCTTTTCAAACCAAGTACCATTGCTTTCAAGATACATTTTCCCCCCCTGGCTGTATTTACAACATGTCATGAACGCCAGGAAAAAGAAAAGTTGACTCTAGCGGGATATGTTAAGATTATTTAATATATGTCCTCAACTTGACCCGAAAAGTGATTTCTAACAGGTGCACAGTAAAACTTAATTTGAAATTCATGGGACTATGAGTATGGTTAGTTTTTAAAAATCCTAGACCTGTTTTGAACAAAGGGACAGTTCTTGAAATACGTTATTTTCTGCCTGCCTTCTAAACGTTGAAAATAGGTTATAATATTGTAAATGTAACAGTTTACGTGGGAGGTAAAGTTGGGCGAGATTTTAAAAGGTAGAAAGATCTTCTGCAGCTATCAATTAAGTTCTGTGTCTTCACTGTCTCTCCCTCCACATTTTAAGATTTTTTTTTTTTAAATGTGGTTGCTGGCCCTAGGAGGTAATTTTTAGGGCAGGAATCAAAAGATCCTTTGTGGGTTTTACTCGGGCCCTGCTAACTGCCGCTAAGATCCGCTCAGTGCTGCAGGGTTAAATATGAGGTCATTCCTCCGAGTGTCAGAGCCACGGCTGCTTGTGGTAGAAATGCCCATGCCTGTGTCCGACGTCAGCACTGTTGTTCTGAAGCGTTTCCTGAGGAACTTGGGACTCTATCAGCAGAGCCTCGGGCATCCTCAAGTGATCTGACCAGCCAGAGCCTTGGCAGTTTGACCAGCCTAGAAACGGAAAGCAGGTCCCTAAAGCAAGTCCCAGGGAACGTCCCCTAACACACCCCAGGAGTTCAGTGGCCCTATGGAGGTTAATGGCGGGTTTTGTTCTTTTCTGAACTAGGGGGGCTTCCCCAGGACGGGAATAACCTTGGGTTCATGCAGGGTATGTAAGCAGCCTCTAAGAGCAGATGGGAAGGGGAAGTCCACGCGGTGTCGTAAGGGACAGGATCACTTGCTTCAGGACTTCCTGTATTTAGAGATGACGAGTTTCTCTAGTCAACAGTGTTGCTTGTGCCCCCCCCCCCGTGCCCCCCTGTGTGCTGACGTTAGCCTGGAAATGCAGGAGCAAACCAAACAGGGCTCTGAAGTAGGCATGTTTTGATGACGTCTGTGTTTCCTTTACTGCATATGATCTTGAGGACTGTAAACCACCAACTATCTTGCACGGCACCGAAACCCCAGGGAAATTAATGCAGAAGCCCTCAATGAATACTTATTTGACCTGTAGGAACAAAGGCTCTAGTTGGGGATATCAGACTGTGTATAAGAGCTTAGACACCTTAAAATTTAGGACTGAGTGAAATCTTCCCGGGCTTAGGAATAAAGAGGGGGTGTTTGAATTGAGGAAATGAAAGAGTAAATTTGGGGAATCGGTTACTTCGTTTCTTTATTTTGAGACAGGGTACTGCCCAGTCTGTTCTTGAACTATGTAGCCCAGGCTGCCCTCAAACTTGGAATCTTCCTGCCTCAGCTTCTTTTCCCTTTCAAATTAATTAGCCATTTATTACATAGTTCATCAAATACATTAGTTCCTACCAAAGCAGAATTCCGAAAGTTCAAGGGTAGCAGGGTAAGGTTTGCTTTCAGTTATGAAACAGAATGGTTATTTTTTATCTCACATTCAAATAACTGTCTCCAGGTTTCATAGCGAGAGCTAGGAAAGGTTTCAGATACTAACTGTGATGCCAGCCATTCATCCCACGTCCCACGGAAAATGAAATTCCCGAGCCCTCTATATCTAAAGTTCCTGATGCCTCGTTTTGGCAAGTGGCCTCCCTGGAGCCTCTAATGCCTCTTGTAGTCAAAGCCGCCGACTCAGCATCTTACATGCCTTGGTAGAGATCTACCACCGTGCTCTGTAACAGCCTTTTACATTTGTGTGTTTACTTATTTATGTTTGTGTGTAGGAGTATTTATGTGCATATATGTCCGTGCACCCTGTATGTGCTTAGTGCCGGAAGAGGCATGGGCTCCCTGGAACTGCAGTTACAGATGGTCGGGAGCCACCCCGGTGGGTGCTGGGGACTGAGCCGGGGTCCTCGGCAAGAGCAGCAAATGCCTTCAGCGGCTGTCACCTCCCCAGCCCTGCATTTGTTTTCACCGAAAGCATCTTGATAAATGTTGGGAACATTTAAAAGGCCATACATTGCTGTTTGTAGGAGATTGTAAGACATACGAAGCAAATGTATTAAAATACATAACCTTTTGAAATCTGTATTTTTTTTTTTCTGGTACTGGCAACTAATCCCAGGCCGTTTATCCATGTTGAGATGTGCGACAACCAGAGTTTGATCCCCCGAACCCCACCTGGTGGAAGGAGAGAAGTGGCTTCTGCGAGTTGGCTATCAACTTTGCACGCCTGTTGTGACCCGTGTCCCTCCCCCACACACAGGTGCATGGTTAATACAAGGAAAAGAAAATTGCGCTGCCAACTTCTGGGTGTTGGTACATGGCAATGGGCACTTGGGAGGCTGAGGCGCAAGGATGACCACGAGTATGGGGACAACTAGCTGTATAGGGAGGCTGTATCTTATCCTCCAGTTCCAGACACAAGAGAATTGCAAGGCCAGTTTTATACACATAGGAATGGCATAATATGGTTAAAAATCATTTTGTGATTTAGACTGTGGGCATGGTATGCTATGTAATATAAATGGATTTTAACTTCAGAAAATAACAGAGTTAAAATCAGAAAGAAATTTCGTGAGTTATGGGTGTGTGTGTGTGTGTGTGTGTGTGTTAATGGGAGAGTCTTGACTGTTGAGCTCTGGTTGCCTTGAACTTGCTGTCTTTTTCCTGCCTCAGTCTCCTGTAGGATTGCAGGTGTCCCTTAGCCATGCCCAGCTGAATTCTTTCACTTTCTTCTTCCTTTGGTAAGTAGCCCACTTTACAGTTTTCCCTTCTACACCTTTGCTTGTTTTGAGAAGCGTTCCTCTGAAACATCAAAAATTATGCTGATTTCTAGGTTTCTGTTTTAACACGTCTAACAGGAGTGCTGGCTCAGGAGGAGCCTGGACCCCTCGTGGTGGAAGGAGAGAACCCATTCCTACATGTTATCCTCTGACCTCCGCATGGCGTGTGTGTACATGCCCGCCCCAAACAATGAGTAAATGAATACATACATGTAATTTAAAAATAAAAGAGATATATTTTATAATAGAATGAAAAAAAGTTGGTAAACTGGTAGGAGACAAATGCCACTGTATTTATTGAGGAAGTCAGTTCTCCCAGCTCTACCTGTAAACCACACAGCATGGTTTTTGTCTTTTGTTGTTTTGTCTACAGTCTCTCCATTTGCAAATTGATGATAATTTCATTCTTCTCTCATGGAATTGTGGTTAAGATACAATAACTTAGTATGTTTTAAA